ATCGCGGTCGCAGACATCCCCGCCGCCCCGTCATTCTTATCTGGAACTGTGGGGTGCTACGTGCTGATAACCCTGTTACGAATCATATGAATAGAACTACAGAGAACAATGTGAATACATATGATAATACTTTCGCTAGTCATATTACTGATAAAAAGACGACCAATGCTACTACGAAGAAGATTACTAAGACTAGTACGAAATATCACTACTACGGATACTGCCATCGCTAGTAATAGTATTCGTACAAACGCTAGTAATAATAACACTAGTCATGATCCTAATACTAATCATAATATCCAGAAGAAAACTAATCTTACTAAATGCAATAATAATGTTACGAATGATACTACGATTCTTTGAAACAGTAATGTCAACAATGCTACTACTAAGCAAACGAAGAGTAATCATAAGAGGAGGAAGGAGGGGACTATACCAATGTCACAAGCTGGGGTGGATGACCCAGCAGTTCTTGTAGCCTCTGGCAGGCCCTCTCTGTCTCTGCGGCGCGTGGTCGAGGCACTCCGTGCCGAGGATGACGAGGCGCCTCTTGTCCAACGTCGGAACTGGGTGGATGGAGATTCTTCGGATACACATGCGCCCTCCCGCCCAGGGTCTCTGCGTACAGGGTGTCCCTCTGCACCACATCGGCGTTGGGCCGAGTCGCGTTTTTTCCTCCCTCCTCGCCCTTCATTGTTTCTTTTGGGGCCAGGTCGCTATCTCACCTATGAAGTTTCACACAGGGCTTCCAGAGTTTAGCGTATCGGAGCAGACAGTCAGGCATCTTCCCTCCCTGCCTTCCTCCCTTCGTCCTCCCTTCTCCTTCCCTCCTTCCTCTCTCCTGCCCGCTCCCTCCTACCTCCCTCCTCCATTCTCCTTGCTTCTTCTCCTTCATCATCCCTCCTCCTCTCCCTCCTCCATCCTCCTTCCTTCTCACCGTCCACCAGGCTCTCCACCCTGCCCCCTCCTGCTCCCCTTCCCCTTTTTCCTCCGCGCCCCCTCCCTCCCCCTCGGCCCCCTCCCTCCTCGGCGCGGGGGAGGGCGATGGGCGGGGAGGACAGGCTGCCAGATGCGGCGCGCGAGCGCAGTTACCTTGCCCCCCCCCGCCCCCCCCCGCGTGCTCCTCCTGCACCCCCATGGTCCGCAGAAACCGCGTGTGTGTGGGTGTTCTCCCGTGCCCCGTCTCCCTGTGCGGGTGGGCGGGCTCGCCGCGCCCCTTCGGCCTTGCCGCCCCCCCCCAGCGGCCGGCACCATGCACCCCCCCGCCGCCCTGTGCGGCGTCGTGTGGCCGCCCGCGGGCCCGGGCGCCGCCGCGCCGATTGTCCGCGGCACCGCCGTGCCGCACTTCGGCCCTGCGGCCGCGCATCGTGCCGCCGCCGCTGCGCCCCGCCGCCCGCCCGCGGCGCAACAGCTGCCGCCGCCGCGCCTTGGCGGCGCGCCCGCGGCAGTCCCGCCCGCGCCGTACGGCGGCGTGTCTGTGGCGGCCGCCGCCGGCGAGGGCGGCTGCCCGCCAGCGAGGGCGGGCGGGTGCCGCGGGCCGGAGCGGCGCCGCGCGCACTCGTTGGCGGCCCCGCACCTCGCCGGCTGCGGCGACGCCGACGAGCGCGAGGCGCTGTGGCGCGAAGTGCAGGCGCTGCGGGAGCGCCTGGAGGCCTCGGAGCGAGAGCGCGGGTGGGCGTTGGCGGCGCTGCGGGGCGCCGAGGGCGCGGACGCGTCGCGGGCCGCCCTCGCCGCCTCGCGGCCCGCCCTGGCGGAGCGCCCTGGCGCGGAGGGTGCCCGACAGGGCTCGCCGCTGGCGCCTCCCTGGTCGCAGGGGCGCGGCCCGCCCGGGGAGGGCGGCAGCGCGCCCCACCAGGTCCAGCTGGGCCACTACCGGGTGATGGTGGAGCTCCTGAGCGTCCGGTGCCGCCTGCTGGAGCAGTGGCTGCAGGAGGAGGCGAGCGCTGGGGCGGCGCGCGAGGCGGAGGCCCGCCAGGCCCTGCTCGCCCTGGAGGAGCAGACCTCGCGCATGGGCTCCGCCATGGTGGAGCAGCACAACACCTACCAGGCCATGCTCGCGGACCTGAAGGCCGAGCAGGTCCGCATGGCGAGCGTGCACCGCGCCGAGCTGGACCAGAGCGCCCACGCGCGCTCTCACGCGGAGGGGGCGTGCAGCGAGGCCGCGGCCGAGATCGCGACCCTGCAGGAGGACTTCAGGAGGCGCGAGCAGGCGTGGCTGCGGCAGTGGGCGGCCCTGCAGCACTGCGACGACGCCTCGACGCTGGCCGATGACGTCGGGTCCCTCCGCGGCAGCGACGACCCCCGCGCGGCCGCCGACGAGGCGCTCGGGGCCCCGGCCCGCTGCGCGGCGGCGACGCCCAGCGCGAGCCGCGAGGCGCCGCCGCCCGCGCGCTCCTCGCCGCAGTTCGGCAGCCGGGCCTCGGTCGGCGAGGGCCTCGCGCGGCCGCAGCCGGCCCCGGGCCTCCCAAGCGGGGTGCGATGCGAGCACGGCTGGCGTTGCAAATGTAGCGTCCGATGGGGCGCCGCCAGCCCTCTCGTTACACGCTATATCCCCCGCCTTGGGGACAGCGTACACCGAAGAATCCCTCGCAGGGGTTTGCGGCGTGCGCAGCATGGGGCCTTCGCGGGGGGGTTCGCCTCATTGAGACAGCGTGCTTTCCGGAGATTGATGTCGCACGCTCTCTCTGCAATGCCAGCCGTTGATGGAGTCGGAGGACCGTGCCGCATCGCCGATGCACCGGCGATGTGGCTCGACGTGGGGCCGGATTGTGTCCATGCCGACCGCGCCGGGGCACCGCTGGGGCATCGCCGAGGCGCCGCCGAGGCACCGCCGAGGCACCGCCGGGGCATCGCCGAGGCATCGGCGGTGCGTCCGCCATGCGGCGCGCTCCTCCGGCCCCGCCCGCTCGGACCCCGCCTGCGCGGCCCCCGTCCGGCGCAGGCGCACGAGCGCGCCCCGCGCGCCAGCGCGCCGGCCGCGGGCCGCTCCCCGGCCGGCGGCGCCGGCGGCGCCAGGGGCAGCCCGCCGCCGCCAGACGAGGACGTCCGTCAGGGGAGGCCTCGAGGGCGCGCAGGCCCTGGCGGTTCTTCGCGCCTGGCGCTTCGCGGGATCGGCTCCGAGTCCTCCTCGTCCTCCTCGTCTTCCCTGGGGGGCGGCGCGAGAGCCTCCAAGCTTTTCGCGCTTCGCGGTTCGCGCAGTGCGAGGCGCGAAGTCAGGCGCCCTCGTTTCGCGGAGGGCTCGGGAGCCTCGATCGGCCACGCGCAGGGTGGGGCTATCCCATGGTGAGCGAGGCCAACAGACGGGGTCGTCTTCACCGACGCTGGCGCGTAAGCTGCCCGCGTGAGGTCGCGCGTCAGCGCTCCCGTCTCCCATGTGGCGTGCCACGATGGCGGCCCGCGTAAGTGGCCGGGTAAGGTCGCAGTGCCATCTCGCGCAAGACTCATTATTGATCGTCGCTCAGGTGGGGTTATGGAACGCAGGGCTGGTGCTTTCTGAGAAGCAGCCTCTTCCAAGAAGCCTTCCTTCCTCCCCCTTGCGCGCGCCGCCCAGGGGGAGCATGGCCCAGATCGCGGGAGCCTTGAGACGGGGGTCAACGCAAGCGGGGGTCAGCCAGAGCGACGGATTTTGCAGGATCCTGCAGAGCCAGGGGTGCATGGACCCGGGCTTGCGCGCAGGATCCTGCAGGGTTTTGCAAAGCCTGATTGATCCAGGCTTGCTTTGACCCGGGTCAGCAGAAGCCCCGTAGGGTGCTCTTGTTTGAGTCGTAGGGCAAGAAGGGTACCAGCATAAGCTTGCGGAGGTCCGCGCGAATTTCGTGGATCTGCGCTGGGCCTCCCTTGCGGCGCCTCCAGCGCGGCCTATGGCGCGCTCCGCGCGCCAGGGAGGAGCAGCTTGGCAGCTATGGAGGCGCTCAATGCCGAAGCCATTGTCGAGGTCTCGGCGCAGATCCAGGAAACTCGCTCGGACCTCTGAGAAATTATGTTTATGCAGTTTTTGTCCCTGTATTGAGTCGGTGCGATCGAGGTGGGTACTTCAAGAATGGGGACGAAGTCGGGCAGCATTTCGTGCCCATTTTTAGCAGGAAGCGCTGTTGGTGCCGCCGCGAGCGTTGTCGATTTGAGACAGAAGGCTGCCTGCCCGACAGCGGCCGCTATCGGTTGGGCATCGTACATACCCGTTTCGTCCGTACCCATTCCGGGCGTCCAATGTGAGCATGGCGGCCGTGGGCCGTCCTGGGCCCTGGCGCGGTGCCCACGTCGCCCTGGCCGTGGCAGGGATCGAGGACGAAAAATCGGCGTAGACGCGAACACTCTCGGAGCTGCGCGCGGAGTTCTTGGATCGGCGCTGGGCCCCCGCGCCAGGGAGGGGCCAATGTGGGGAAAACGTGTCCGTATCCGTGGCCTCCGGGGCTGGGCCCCTCGGTCGCAACCCCGCGGATACGGGGCGCTTTTTCGCGGATGCCCCGCGCGGACCGTTTGCATGCGGCCGCGTATCCGCGGGATCGCGCCCTGGAATCCAGACCGCGGGGGGGGGGACGGATACGGATATCTGTTCGCCGCTCGTGAAGGGGGGCCCCGCGCCGACCCGAGACATCTCGCGGAGCTCTGGCAGTACACGGCAGTACATGTTTATGCAGCTTTTTCTTCCTCGAATCCTGGCTGAGGCAAGGGGGGCCTGTACAGTGGATGCCCATGCCAAGAAACTCCCTGCTTGCCTCCAGGGTGCCGTGGGTTCGTTGGGTTTCGTTGGTTTTGCAATGGGAAGCGTGACGTTCCCACGCCAAAAATCCATGGGCGCCCTGGGCTCTCAGGGTTGGGTTTCTTGTGGACAGGCCTCCATTGTGCACCCGTCCCAGGGCCCAGGATGCCGTGGCCAGGGCGTCCGTGGTTTGGGGGGTGCCTCCTGCGGAGAGGACGTGTCGCAGACGCCCGAGCAGCTGATCGCCAGCCTCCAGGGCTTGGCGGACCCCCGCCTGGCGGCGCGGGCCTGGGCGCGCGTCGGACAGGTGTACCAGCGCCGCAAGAGCTTCGCGGAGGCGCGGGAGGCGTACAGGAGCGCCGTGCAGCTGGACGGGTCCCAGCACGGCTGCCTCGCCAACCTGGCGCAGCTGGAGGCCCACGCGGGCAATCCGGAAGACCGGACAGCGGCAGGAGCACGATCCGCGGAGGGCGACTTGAGACAACGGTAGTGGGCCTCCGGGGCCTCCCTGGTGGCCGCAGCGGGACGCGGCGCGAAGAACTAATGCATTTACACCCCGGGAGGCGCCCAGGGTTATGATGTTCCAACCCGCTTCAGCCTTGATCGCAAGAACATCTCGAGCACCAAGAAAGCACAGAAACTTGAGGGTTTTCACGTGTCTGGCCCTGGGAGGCGATACTCCTTCGACGCTGTTTCGATACTTTGTTGGGTGCCCGAGCTCATTTTTGGCTTTTGGTCCTTCATCGCGAGGGGAGCAACGAGGGCCCAGGGACCGATGCTGAGCCCCTGTTGTCTCCACCCGCCCTGCTCCGACGGGAGCCTCCGGAGGTCCGCGCGGCCCTCTTGGGGCGTCGGTGGGCCCTCCCCCCCCGCGCGCCCCCCAGCTCGGCGCGCGGCCGGGCCGGCGGCGCCTGATGGGCCTGTTTTCCACCACCACCACCATAAGTTGGAGGGGGGAAGGAGGAGGAGGACGAGGAGGAGAAGGACGATGAGGAGGAGGACGAGGAGGAGAAGGACGAGGAGGAGGAGGAGGAGGAGGAGGAGGAGGAGGAGGAGGAGGAGGAGGAGGAGGAGGAGGAGGAAGGAGGAGAGGAGAGGAGGAGGAGGGGAGGAGGAGGGCCCCCTCCCCCTCCAACCTATGGGGTGGTGGTGGAAAACAGGCCCATCAGCGCCGCCTCGAGGGGCCCCGGGCCGACCCGGGAAGCTCGGCGGGGACGCCCGTCGGCTGCACGCCAGGGCGGCCCTTCGCCAGAGTGGCCCCTGGTCGGCGGCCTGGGCCCGTCGCGTGATGCGCATCGGAGGAGGAGGAGGAGGAGGAGGAGGAGGAGGAGGAGGAGGAGGAGGAGGATGAGGAGGAGGAGGAGGAGGAGGAAATGAAGAGGAGGGAGAGGAGGGGGATTCGGTGGGGAGGGGGGAACTTCGCATCACGTGACGAAATCCCTCTGCCTGCCTGGGTGCACGGCCTCCGCGGACCTGGGAGCCGCGGCTGTCGCATCGCGCGCAGCGATCGGCACGCCGTGCGCCACAGGGTCGCTCTTGCCCAAGGGCTCCCACTCTTGCCCGGGCCGCTGCCGGCTGCGAAAGTCTGTGCCTGTGCGCTCTCTGCTCTCCTGCGATCCAGACGTGGCGATGGATCTCCTGCAGCAGGCCCTGGCGCTGGACCCCGCGAACGAGGCCTACAGGTCCTTCGAGCGCTGGCTGCGCGCGGGCGCCAGCTCGTGAGGCAGCACCGGGCGTCGTCGCTGGCGCCGCCTGGCGAGTTGCCCCTGGCGCCTGTCGGGTTGCGCCTGACGTTAAGTCGGGCGTGTCCCTCTACAGGAGGAATATTCAAAGATAGTCGACAACAATTATCAGGGGACGAATTTTTGACTAGCGTCGACCATCTTTAATGACTTTTGTGGAGTATTCTTGTTTTTTCCTCCAAAATCCGCGTGTGGGAGGACACGCCCGACCTACGCCTGGCGGGTTGCTCCTGGCGCCCGTCGCCTGGCGGGTCGCCCGGCGCCTGGCGGGTCGCCCTGCGCACTGGCGGGCTGCCTGGCGCCTGACGGGGTCGCGCCCTCGTGGCGCCCGGCGGGCTGCGCGAGCGGCGACGACGACGACACCGGCGGGCGACGAGGCCCGTGCACTGTCCGCCGCCTCTGGCCCGGCCCGTCCCGGGCCCGGGGCTCAGGGAGGGACCATCTCTCCAGCCTCCCCTCGTCACCACGCCCGGCTTTCGCCTCGAAGTCTTGCAGGGGGCCACGTGCGAACCCTGCCCTCTACCCCCCACGATTTCTGAGGGGGAGGGTGGGGGTCGCACGCGGCCCCCTGTCTTGGTCAGAGTCAACCCTGGAGAGGTCCCGCGAGTGCGGCACCGGCTCGTCTTGGCTCCCCCACCTGGCGCTGTCCACCCCTGGCCCGGCCCGTCCTGGGGCGGCGGGTAGTGCACGGGCCTCGTCGCCCTGAAGCGAGGGCAGCAGGCCGAAGGGGGGCAGTGACAGAAAGCGTCGGCGGCCAGCGCGGGTCTCGTTGCCTGGCGCTCGCCCGTTCCCGCCGAGCCCGTCCAGCCGAGAGCCGCCCTGGGGAGGCCAAGAGCACCCGCGCTCGAGCCGGGCGGCTCCGCGTTGGATGGGCCTGCCGCTGGGTGAGCATGCGGCGAGCCTGTGGCGACGGAGAGATGGTCAGAGGAGGACAAGGTGCCCATACCGCTGCCCTTGCTTCGTTTTCGCCTGTTCAGGCCTCCTGGGAGGCCCTCGTCGCCACCGCTGGGTCGGCGAGAAGTCCAGGGAGTAGCAGTATCGGTACCTGTCGCTTCCCGCAGACGAGGAAGGTGAAGGCCAACAATCAGGGGCAACGTCAGGGGGGCTTGGCTCAGGGGGGAATGCATCGACTCCCAGCCGCCCATTCATCACCGATAGAGTCCCGACAGACCACCCCGCTCAGGACCCTGCGGATTCGCCACTGGGGGCCCATCGCGGATCTATCGGCGATGTATCGCCGATTCCAGGCCGACGCTCCCCCCTCTGTGCCAGCCCTCCCCCGTGTCGAGGCCCCTGACAGCAGGGGCCGGCGCGAGTCAGATCTGGAAGCGCTGCTCACGCTGGAGGCCGCGCGGGCGGCCTGCGGGACCGTCGCCCGCCTCCAGCCGTCGCCCGCCTCCCGGCGCGTGGGCTCCGCCGCGGGCTGGACGACGTCGGCGCCGGTGCAGTGCGGCGCGGAGGCGTCGCCCCGGGCGGCCGCAGGAGGCACCGGCCGCCTCTGACGAGGGCCGGCCTGGGCCCTCGAGGAGGGTGTGTAGGGCCCGCCTGGCCTCGGCCAGGAGGGCGCACGGTCGGGTCTGATGGGCGGGTCGGGCTTGCCAAAGCGAGGGCCCTCCTCGTTTCTCGCCTGTTTCATGTCCGCTTCACGCGTGGAGCACGGTGGCTCCCAGAAGAGGCTCGTGTTCTCCTAGTACTAATCAATGAGGTGGATCTAGCTGTTGTAGAGTTCTGTTCGAGATGGACCGAGCCCTAGTAGGGTTTAATGAGAGATGGATCCAGCGATACTAGGATTCAATTTGAGTTGCCTCGAGCCCGACTAGGGAGGATGCTATGAAAGATGGATCCAGCCACAGTAGGGCTCTATTAGAGCTGGATCGAGCCCCAGTATGATTCAATTAGAACTGGATCTAGCTGAAGTAGGTTTCTGTTTGAGATGTATCGAGCCCGACTCGGTAGGGGGTTGTCGTAGGAGGAGGAGGAGGAGGAGAAGGAGGAGGAGGGAGGA